TTTACCATCTTTTCTCCCCTACCTTTGGACAGGGGACTAGAAGGTGGGGTCAAAGTGTTTTAAAATGCTTATTAAAGTAGGTTTTTTTTTAAAATCTAAGCCTAGAGGGTAGTCTGTGCTGGCATCCATGGTCTCTTAGAGATTGAGAAGCTTTGTGTTATAGCAGGCCTGGTCTTCCTCAAGGTCTTTGGATTATCTTCTTCATCTCATGGAATATTTTTCCCTAGGTCGTAAATAAACTTATTCAAACCCCACCTCCTCAGAGAACTCTTTACTGACTAGCAGATTGCACTTATTTGCTTTTCTGTGTTTGTTTGTTGTTGTTACTGTTGTTAGCCTACAAAGGCACAAGTCTCTAGACACTTGAGCACATATTTGTCATCTCTAGCCTGACACTCTGTTCTATTATGCTAAGTTGACAATTGATTAATGTCTACCTTCTTTCCTACTAGACCGGAAGTTCCCTGAAGCCAGAGGTCACACTGGTCATGTCCTTTGAATCTCCCCAGCATCTCTTACAGTATCAGGCACCTAACCCCTACTCAACAAACATAGTGTCAGTTAATGGAATGCGGAAAGCCAAGATCAGGAGGTTTTATGGGGCGAATGTACTGCAAAGCGATTTTAATATTTGGGGGGTCAGATTTGCCCTTCAGAATTGTATTAAAATTTTGAAAGGTTTTCTTATTGAAAGTGAAAGGACCCAATTCTTATCATAAAATCTTAAAGGATTCCATGGAGCTTAGGTTAACAATTAAATATTAAGATCATCTCATTGTACCTACGAATGAAATATCACAAAAATTAATTATCATTAAGTACCAGTATTTTAATGTTTATGTGCTGATAGTAACCAATTACATGTTGCCTTTGGAAAATTTTGCAACTATCCATAGGAGGGAAAGGAACTATCTGTAAATGTTATATATTTTATTTATATTCAGAAAAGGATTTAAGGCTTACAGAGAAAGAGTAATAAAACCACATACTGCAGTGTAATATAAAATATATTCCAAATAGGTAGAAAAAAATGAGTCTAAGGAAAAAAAATAACAAGGCTAAGAACACAAGGTGGGGCCAGGGGAGAGATTCATATTCAAAATTTATGACAAGAAATTCAACACCCTCGCTGGAAGACAGCAACAAATTTTCTTCTCGGGTTTTCAGCCGCCAACGTGGAGGAGGAAAAAGAAGTCAGCTATGCCTTACAGAGGGTCATATTTTATATATGCGTCTGCATGAATACATGTATGTGTAGTTTAATAGAAAATACTTAAAGAAGGAGGCTTGCTTGCCAGGCTAAAAAAGCAGGCTAAAAGATATTTCCAACTTATCTGGATATAGATTCTGTTCCTGGGCCTAAAACTAGACGTAAATATGCCGCGAATGACCAAGATTTGGGCTGATTATGATCAACAGTTCCTGACTTACTGTAATTTTATCAACAGTAGATATTTGGAAAGAGTCTTTATTACACTAGAGGAGTCAGATACCAGGGTGTACCCAAACAGTCGTGTCTGTACGTGTGTGTGTGTGTACAAGAGAGGGCACACATAAGTTGTAACACACGTGTTTCTGAGGTCTCACTGGTTGTCTCTCTCACCACCTTGTGGGGCTGGGGGATCAAACTCAGGCTGCCCGGTCTCCTTGCAAGCACTTCCATACACAAAGCCACGGCTCCACATTGTCTTGTATGCAGGCACACTCTATTAACGAAAGGCTTGGAGTGATTTTGCTGCTAGGAAGCTGATTCTCATGAGATATTCAAGACCTCATCAGAGCCTCCTCAAGCCTATCTCCTTAAGGTGCAAATATAGTCACTACCTTCCCCTGATGGGAGATGCGTTGGCGGCATTAAGGGTGGCACGCTGAATGGCTCACAGGGACAGGTTTACTTCTTTCTTGAGTGAAATGTGTTTCTCTCTGGCTCCTTTGTCCTAAATCCAGATGCCTGAGCTAGGGGTTCCATTGCTGTGAAGAGGCACCATGACCAAGGCAACTCTTATGCAGGAAAACATTTCATTGGGGCTGGTTTACAGGTTCAGAGATTCAGTCCATTATCATCAAGGCTGGAAGCAGGGCAGTATCCAGGCAGGCAAGGAGCTGGAGAAGAAGCCAAGAATCTTGATCAGAAGGCAACCAGGAGAGTGTGTCTCTTCTGCACTGGGCCTAGCTTGAGCACTAGGAGCCCTCAAATCTGACCTACACAGTGACACAGTTCCTCTAACAAGGCCACGCCTATCCCAACAAAACCACACTTCCTAATAGTGCCACTTGCCATGGGCCGAGCGTAGTCAAACCACTGCACCAGATCAGACTGTATTTCTTGTTTCGGTGTGGTTTTAGCGCCCCCCGAGCTGCCCCGACACTCTCTGTAACCCTAAAAGTGCATCATGACTCGAATTTCATCTCCTCTGCAAAACGCGTGTTTTCTTAACTGGGGACTCAGAAGGTCTGCATTCTGGCTGTAACTAAGCAAAAGTAACTCACGCAAACATTACAGTTTGCGTCTTTTTTGAAATCTCTCCCTTCCTCCTCTCCCCAGCACCTCTGGAATCTGAGTCTTCTCTTTTCACCCTGCGGTGTCTCTAGCTCCACGCTAAGCAAAGACAAAGATTGTCCAGGGCTGGAGAGCACGATGCACTGAATTAGCACTTCTTACGTAACATGATCCTGCAGAAGAGAAAAGTCTGTTTTTAAAAATTCCCCTCTACTGCTCTCATCCTATTACTGAGCCTGGGTGACAAAAAAAAAAAAAATAGCCACCCACCCACCCACCCCCCCGCCTTAATTCCTTAGATCCACCCAAAGCTCTTAGTGGCCTTACATGGTCTCAGTGTCCCGCCATCTTTGCTTGAGACTACGCTACGCAAGCATCTTTCTCACCGAACCTACATACCTGCGTTTAGTTTGCCTAAAACATCTTTGTTGGCGACCTACTTGCCAGCCAGACGCTATTGGGAGGCAATGAGTCACTTCTAAGGGTCCCTGCCTTCACTTAGCCTGCAGACCAGTGAGGGTGAAAAATAAAAGAATGACCCAAGTTAACATGAAACTGAAATTTCAAGTGTTTTGGGGGCGGGGGGAGGGGGCAGTGACAGAGACGCAGCACAGAGGATAGAGTGCTTGACTAGCGTGCAGGAAGCACCAGTTTGGTTCCTAGCACCGCATAAACTAGACGCCGCAGTGCACACCTGCAATCCCCGCACTGTGGAGTTGGAAATACGGGTCTCAGAAGTTCAAGGCTATCCTCCCCAATACAGTATGAGTTCAAGGCCAGCCTGGGATATTTAACATGTTATCATGATTAAAGAGACAGGAAACAAAAACAAATGCTGCAGAAGGGATAGGAGGTCCCAGAACGCGAGATATAAATGGCAAACAAGGTAGAACGACGGCCTGACATGGAGGCTTGTAAGAAAAGCCTCCAGCAGGAGAGAGCATGCGCAACATAGGAAACAAGAGGGCGGGCCAACCTGCCTGATTCCGGATGTACTCCAGGGTCATTGAGGTGGATACCTCCCCAGCCATATGCAGTAATGTGCAACGATGCCAGGACTAGCGAGCAGGTTGGGGCTTTGTGGTCTTGCTGGTGGAAGAATTGTACTCAGTTACTTACCTTATTTCTGGCTACAGTCTGAAGGATGAGTTAACAACGGGTAAAAGTTATATGATGCAGTTGAACTTTTCCAGTAGAGAGATAATGATAACTGTGCTGGGGGAAGAGGAGCGAGAGGGGGTGATTTGGGTGAGTTACTAAGTATATAGAGTCAAGGGAGCTGGGAAGGTGGTACGTGGGCCATGTACCACGCAGCAGTTACGTTATGTGGAGACAAGTAGGAACTGTCAGAAAGCGGAGATTGGTTCTGAGTTCAAGGCTTGATGACATCAGAGGTCACCAGGAGCAGACACGGGATTGTATTATGGGTGTGGAGTTTGTTTAAGATGACAGAATCTGGGGACATGATGATATCACAAACCATCACACTAAGTCACTGATTGTATTATAGTCATGTTATGGGTGTGGAGTTTGCAAAAGAGGATGAGGGGTGAGATATAAACTTATGAGTCAGCTTCCCAACTCCAGAGTTAGATCGATCGGGATGGATACGGTTAGAGAGACAGACTGTAAAATGAGTCAACAAGAACACTGGGACAAAAGTCTTCAGGAAGTCAGACCCATGACAGCCCTGCACTGGAGGGAGACCCGACAGAGGAGGAAAGAAAGAACAGCAAAAGAAACAGGAGATCCCGGAAACGACCTGGTCAAATGGACTGGGAGAAAGAGTTTCTGAGAAGCGGAAGTAGTCAACTTCTTCAAAGACAGAGGATGGGTACACTGGGTTTTGTTGGGTATGGTGACCCACACCCAGTACTTGCGAGACGGATCCAGAAGGATTACAAATTCTGGGATAGATCCAGTCTTTAAGGAAAAAAAAGTGAAAAGAACACTTTGTACATGCTAAGACACTTTGGGGTTATTATTTATTTACTTATTTACTTATCTTTTCCCTTGAGCAAAAGTGGAAAGCACTGATCAGTAGAAAATCATTTTTGAAATACCAATAAGTAATTGTAAAGTAATACATATCGAAAACTATAGCTGTAATTCATTCTGCCTGGCGTTCTTTTTTGATTCATGTTCTTACCTGGTCGATTTTACATGTGTCTTTAAACTGTACCCAGGAAGAAAGCACAATATGAGCATGTGACATATTGGTGACCACGAGGAGAGGAGGGAAAATGGGTATCGAGTGAGCTTGGGACAGTACCACGGTGCGTGGTCTGAACTGGAAAGCAAATGTGAGCCTGGAGTCTGGGCACCTCTGCCCAGCCCCATGACTTCTGCTATCAGTGACCTATTTGTGCCCAGTGTAAATAAGCCGAGAACTGTCCACAAAGCACTGCTGGCACCTCCCCTGCTGGTTGGCATCGCTGTGTGTGGGCAGGAACTCACAGGTTGGAGAGTGGAAGCTCTCGTGCCCGGAGACCTCTGTGGAGCAAGACGCCCGCAGCCTGTTTCCCTTCCTGCCCCTGATGCAACTTGGACATTTGATCCCTCCCAGAGAGAATCCGCAGTGGAGGTCACTGTCTCAGCACCGTGACCGGGTGGTAACTCAGATGTTAAACTGAAGCAAACCGAGGAGGCGATGGGAGGTGAGAAAATGGAGGTGAGCCCTGGTGATTACCTCTGTTTGGGATGAGAAGGAAAAAATGGGGGTTGGGGTGAGGAAGCTGGAAGATACATGGATAGGTCTGCCTTTGCTCAGTCAACGAACAAGCGGTGTGCTGTCTTATGCTTGCTAGCCCTTAGGGCCAAGAACTAGGAAGAGATCTTTCAGTTCCTTGTGGGATTTCTATCGTAAGCATCTTGGTCCATACGATATATTTATAAGATAATCTCAAATGCATTTTGTGATCTGATTTTACAAGTTCAGTACTTTCCTCATATGTGCGCTTTTAACTTGACTTCTATGTAAGAGTCAAACCAATTCGTATTTATAACAAAGAGAAAGAAGATAACATGGCTCCCCCCAAAGTATTTATTTTGTTTGGTTGTTTTTTTTTTCTTAAATCCTCTCTCCTTTTATTCTTTTTGTCTAACAAACTTGGACAGTCAGACTGTTACCACTTACAAATAAGAACATATTTTCGAAAGTAACCTGACCCATATCTTCAGAGTCCTCTGTGGCACTTTTGAAAATCATGGGATTAATATATAGTGCCCACCATGCTTAAGTAGACTGTGACCCCCATGAAGGTTAGATATGTGAATCCGTAGGGTGTCCCCAGGTGGCTTAAAAACTTCCCAAGAGCAAAGACTTTGCTGGGTTAGAACCACCCCAAACAAAACCAGGGACCATGAATATTATTCTCATAGTAAAATGGTTAGGATGCCTTTGGTTTGCAGAGAACTTACCCAAGGATTTAAGAAGATTCCAGAAGAAAAGGATAACGAACCTGGGTAGGAGGTAAAATATGAGCTTTTCTGATGGAAGAACATGATAACATAGGTCTGTAAGTCAGGAACCAACCTTTCCAGGGGGTGGTGGCAATGTGGGGAGATAGATTAGTGTCACCACAGAGGTCCTGGGTAAAGTGGTCCATGTCAATCTCAGCTCTTAGGAAGTGCTATTGGATGAGTGCTTTGGACTTAGTTCTGTGGAATTATATTGTGGGTTGGGAGGGCTGTTAGAATTTACAAGGAGAATTTTCAAGCTTAGGAAGAACATCCAGATCACATAGAAAACAGAAATAGTGGAGACTGAGAAGTAGAAGAGGGGGTGGTAGAGGGCAGATGAGCTCCAGAAATACCCTTGAATGTTAAATAGGGAACCAAACCTTTATAGGCAGAGCAGCCATGTTCAGTTTGATTCATGGGAAGTGAGGAGGTAGCATCTTGGAATGGAGAAGAAAAGTAACACAGCCTTTGATCCAGGGAGAGTGACAATTCCACTGATTTTAGATACGGAGTCCAGGAGAGGATGAAGATGAGGATCTAGCCTCAGTAAAGATATCAGTGATTCTTGATTTGAATAAAATGGCTGCCAGGCAGAGAGCCTGTCTACAGCCCCTGCCCCTGTAGGGAAGGGAAATGGAAAGAAACCAGATGATGACAGTTAAGTGAGGTTTCTGATAGACAAGACGTGAGGTTCTGTGGAAGTCAAGAGAAACATGTGGGGTTGGGGAAGAGGTCTTCCCTGGGATTATTTTTCTTGGGTTGATCATCCTGTGAGATTGTTTCCCTTGTTCTTCCTACCCCTTTGGAACAGCCCCATGAAGTGGGAACTATCTCAGATCTGGATCCCAGTTCATCTTTCCAGTTCAATGCCCTGTTTATTAATGAGCACTGACTGACCTAGAGTCCCCAGCAGACTCTCCTCAGTGCTGAGAAAGGGATTTCATAAAGGGAGTAATCTTCATGGAGCTGAGGACAGAGTTCATTTGGTAAGCATTTGGGCAAGCATGAATACTCATAAAAAGCTAGCTGTGTTGCACATGCTTGTAGCCCAGCATTGAGGATGTAGAGACAAGAAATCCCTAGGCTCACCATTTGACCAGCCAGCCAAGCCTGCTTGGTGAGCCTCAGGCCAGCGAGAGACTGTGTCTCAAAAAAACAAGATGAATGATGTCTGAGAAACCACAGCCAAAGTCATCTTTTAGTTTCCATCCCTCTCTCTCTCTCTCTCTCTCTCTCTCTCTCTCTCTCTCTCTCTCACATACACACACACACACACACAAACACACACACACACACACAGAGAGAGAGAGAGAGAGAGAGAGAGAGAGAGAGAGAGAGAGGGAGAGACCCCACTTCCTGACTGTTAGGAAGCCCAGAAAGAAGAAAGACAGGAATGATTTGCTAATTGAATATTTCTAGTATATTTGTGATGCTCCCGAGAGCCAAGCTTCAAGTTCATCTCTAGGAATAACACCATTTTCATAGAAATAATCACTGGCTCCATGGAAAAGTGCTATTTTGTGTTTTGATTTTCATACAGCCTATTTATACAGACTATTTATAAATAATCCATTTTATCTCAACATTTCTGCGCCATTGCACATGAAAAAGTCTCTAGGAATGGATTTCATGCCAGATGGATGAAATACTTGCTTTTTCTAGAGAGAGTGATAAAGTGACATTATTTCTTCTGGGGGATATTAAAACTTTATGCCTTCTTTTCCCCCAAAGTACCAAGAAATTCAAATACAAATTCTACTACTTTTAGCTACTTTGACTGTGTTGACCAGTGTGTGTGTGTGTATGTGTGTGTGTGTGTGTGTGTGTGTGTGTGTGTGTGTTGTGGGGGGAGCTGTATATGTGTGGTGTACATGTATGTGTGCATATGTGTGTATATGTGCATGTATGTGTGTATGTACTTGAGTTTGTACATGTGTGTGTATGCATTCTTGTTTATTCTCAATGTTGTTTTCTGATATTAACTCATATCTTATTAATTTGATTTTGAAAACCGCATCAAATCCTTAAGGTAAAATGTATTAGGGTACAAATATACTAAATACCTCATTGAAAAAAATGCTGAGATCAGTTGAGTCTAACAGTTTAACTTATTCTTGTTTATTCCCAGCACTACACACACACACACACACACACAGAGAGAGGGAGGGGGGGCGGGAGAGGGAGAGGGAGAGGGAGAGGGAGAAAAGAAATGAAAAAAGGACCTATCACACTGAGACAAGTATGTCCAGAGGATTCCATCCGTCCAAATAGATAAGTTATAACCAGAGAAAAGACAGTGACAACCCAAAGCCACCTGATTGGCTGCAGCTGGCCCTTGCCTTACATGATCATATTTTGCCAGCACTCAGTGTCTGCTTAGCTGGAGGGCCAGTGGCTGTAACTGGATAGACCTGAAAAAGACGCTCTTAGGTACGTGTGAAGTCTGTTTGTGCATCAGATTATTGTACAGATCACTGTAACAGGGCCTGCTTCAAGCCATCCATGAAAATTTGGAGACTTGTTTAGTTCAGTCTTAGCTCAGTGCAACAGCCCTTGTTTTAACTGGATTCTCTCTCCACTCCTCACCTCACTGGATCATCAGAACATTACTATCAAGTAGCTGAGGGCATGGGAGCAGGGATTAAACTCAGTTAGCACAGACTGGCCCAGCGTGCACAAAGCCCAGAACTGTATAAAACCAGACATGTTGCTGATGCTTGCCTATAGTCATAGCACTGGGGATATAGATGCATGGGAGCTGATATTCAAGGTCATCTTCAGCAATATAACAAGTGTTGAGTCCAGCCCAGGCTACATGATTAAAATATAATAACAAAAACCTCTCGAGGAGGGTTCACTCTGGCATCCTGTTTCCAAGAGTAGTCCCTTTCCCCTTGCTCCAGCTTTCAGTCCCTCTTGTACTAATTCTTTTGGGTATTTCCAAATGGCATGTCCTGGCTGAGCAGTTCTTGTCCTGATGAAGAATAATCACTGGTGTATGGAACTAATACTGTTTCAGCTGTTTCTCTTCTTCACTGCTTCTATGTCCTCCCTAGGTTTTACAACAAAGAGGCATCTAGAACTGCACCCTTCACCAGGCTGTCTTCAGTAATGGAAATGGAACTGAAGCTTATTTTTCCCTTTTGCATGGTAAGTACTAATTTGTGTGACTAAATTAGCATTGCACTCTACAGTATATATTTTGAAAAAATGTAGAACCGTTGCTTTGCGTAAAGATGGCACACCATATGAATAACAACCAGACTAGTCTTAAGGGTGTTTGCGTTTTCACAAAAAAAAAAAAAAAAAAGAAAGAAAAGAAGAACACTCCATTTTTAAACATTACATCATGGGTTTTATAAATCGTAGTTGAACATGTTTCCTCTGATCTAGAATTTGAGTCATCTTGACCTACATAGGAGTTGGGATCATGAAAATAACATGAGTCTTCCCTGCATATTTTATACACAAGTAGAGTTTTGTTCACAAAACTGACATGTGGTCCCTGAAACATCGTGGCCACGTACAAGGAAGATTTAGAAATGGACAGATTGCTGTTCAGTAGTGCTCATGTTCTTCCCAGATGCCCTGCTTAGAGTATCTACCCTTCTTGGCCCCAGTACCAGCTGTCATCAACTCAAAAATGCATGATCATTCTGCAGGTAGCTAGGCCAAAGGTCAGTGTGAATAGGAGAAAAGGGCCAATGTTGGTGGATTTTTTTTTTCTTCTCCCAAGACTGACTGTGCCTTGCCTACCCACAAACTCCTGTGTTAATTTCAGTCCACAATGTGTTTTATTTTTATTTCTATATTTAATGTTCTGATGCATATTTTACAGAAATGCCTTCTGTGTGTAGCTATGAATAATGTAAGCATTTCATTTATTCTGGGCTTGGGAAGTACACATACCTGAATGTATGTGAGGTCTGAATTACAGATAACTCTTAGACAAATGTGGCTTTTATTACCTCTAACTACACAAGAGTAACTTCAACAAAACATTACAAAGTAGAAGTCCTTAAGGGAACCCTTAATAATAAACCATGCATATTTTGGTATTAGCATATAGATTGGATGTATGGAAGAGCCTGGAAAGGACCAAGGTTCCTTGAAAAAAAAATGGTTTATTCTGTGTCTAAAAATTGTACATAAGGCTGAAATGACATGTTTAAAGCACCATATCTTATCTGCCCATAAATACAGCATTTGCAAAGCAAAAGTAAACATAAGCCCAGCCTGTGGACAAATTATTGAAAGGTTTTAAATGTGCCGGGCCATAGTCACTATATGTCACCATGTGTTCATACATAACATAAAGTGTAGGTAGGTGAGTGTGTGCCCCTACATCTCTGACTGGGGGGAGGGAGCACTTGGGCTAATGAATCAGGATCCTATTTACACCATTAATCCCCTAAGCAGTTGCTTATTTAAAGAAGTTCTTTGGGGTTTCCATTAATTAAATCCATTTGCAGTGTATGCGGGCATTTGAACTTTTCCAGTCCTGGTTTTCATAAGCCAAATTCAAATAGGTTCGTGTCATAATGCCTCTCATTAAGGCATTGGCCTTTGCTTTTTAAAGGAGTTTCAGCACAGCTATGTACATAAAAACAGCTAGGCCAAACGTCCCTATTTAGAAAAGTCAACCTGTTAAACGTTACCGTGTGAAATGTTCTCTTCATGACGGTAAGTATACTTATGCTGAACACGTGTCTTATTTCTAATGTTTCAGTAAGTTCCTTTTATTCTGGGTTTTTTTTTCCCCCTGCTTTGACTTTGCAAGCCTATTTTTAACTGTCACTGTCCCTTTAGGATTTATAGGCAAGCTTTTCAGGGTACATGTATTCGAAATAGAGTTTGATGAATTCTTTGTGAATTTCACACATGCTTAAAATGTATTTCAATCATATTCAACCTCCCCTTCCCATAACAACCCTCCACCCCCATTTCCCAACTTCATGCACTTTTTTTTCTTTTATAGATTAAGAGGTAGAGGAAAGAGACCAGGAGAGGAAGAGAGGGAGAGAGGGAGAGACACAGAGGCATAGCAAATGGGGACTTCAGATTAAAAAAAAAAGTACAAGAATGGGTATATTTAGACCCTAATCTCAACTTCAACCTTCTTTTAAAACAAACAAAAGATAACCCACTGACTAACTTGTACTGTCCATATATTCCTGGGCATGGAGCCATCCACTGGAGTGTGGTTGGCCTACTCGGGGCCACACCCTTAAAGAAAACTGACTCTCCCTCCCCCCAGAAGCCATCAACTCTCTCCATCAGGGATGGGCCCTCGTGAGGTCTTCTCAGCCCCTTGCAGACTGGCTTGATGATGTCCAAGTAGCCACAGCTGCTGTGAGCTCACGGATTGTAGCTTTCCTGTGGTAATGAGACCTGTGGTAATGAGGCCATAGCACAACTGACTCCATGAAAGAAGTACAATTCAGGCCATAAAACTCAGCAAGTAGATGGCACCACCTGCCAAAATGAAAACAAAGACCTAATCCATCAAAGTCCATAATTCTGAAAAAGTCTCTAAATGTACTAACTTTGTTTTTGTGGCTTCTGTAGTTCTGCTTCTTGTTAACTGAACTATGTCAACCCAGAACATGGTTTTGTGCTTAAAAGCTCACCCTGAGAAAGCCCCAGTACCACATTGGGAACCTGAACCCCCAGGGTGGTCTCCCGGCTCATAAAGACTTTCTATTGGCTTAAACTCATGTCTTAGCAGTCTCCTCTGGGGACCACAGTACTAGCGTGTCCAGAAGACCTGTCTATTCTCTGTTCCTCCCTGCCCTTTGACTCTTACAACCTTTCCACCCGATCTCCCTTCACAATTCATAAAAAGGTGCGTTTAGAAGATTGATCTTGTCTACCCAATTGGGAGATCACAAAAAAAAAAAAAATATGGAGCCAAATTCGAACGTTTAAAACGTGCGCAATCCACAAAGTCAGGGGTGTTTTAAAAGGTAGAGTTTCAAGAGAGTGTTCGAATACTCAACTGAGAAGTTGAGAAATAAGTTCCACAATCAGTTGACTGCAGAAATGGTTCCGTCCACCCTTACGCCGAAGCTTGAAAAATACATTAAAGAGACAAGGTCTTTTTAACCTTGAGGTAGAGACGGCAAGTTGCTCAGGGGAGTATGAGAGGCTAGAAATGAGCACTAATAGGAAAACAGCTTTGAATCCCACGGGAAACCATGCCTAATAAAGCTATCTCTAAGCAGTTATTGGGTGCTTGTCTAGTTCAGTGTGTTCCTAGGCTTACTACAAGATACCTAGATGTATTCCTCTTTGCGAGGAAGATATATGAAACAGAATGTGGACATATTTGGGTTCAAATTCCAACCCAGGAGTCTATACAAATCAAAAGGGATGTATAAGCAATACTTATCTTTTTTTCCTGTTGCTATAAAACAATATCCTGAGAAAAACGGGTTAAGAAAGGAAGGCTTTATTTTGGCTGATAGTCCAAGTTACAGCCCATTGTGGTGGGCTACTCAAGAGAGTGCAGCTGGCCACATGGCATCCAGAAGCAGGAAGCAGAGCAGGAAAGATGTGAGCTAGTCCTCAGCACGCTGTCTCTGCACTCCGTAGATCAAGGTTTCTGCCCAGGGAATGGTTCTGTTCACAGTAACGATAGGTTTTTCCCACATAAATTAATGTAATCAAGGTAACCTCCCACAGGCATGCCTACAGGCCTTTCCCCAACTCATTTTAGGTCCTGTCGAGTTGACAGTTAACACTAGCCATCACACAAGCTAAATGGAAAAATAAAGAAGAAAACAAAAGAAGGTAGAAAGAAACGGTACCCTAAAATGAAGACAAGTGTTACAGTAACTTTGCTCTGGTTGGTCCTAAAGGACAGGCATCGACTGTTAGCATCTTAACACAGGATTATACTGAAAGTCTGAAAAGGAAAGAAAATTTGATATCCTGAAAAACTCACGTTATTGTGAAAGAAAATCAGTTTTATTCAATTTACTTTCCTTTGTTTAAGCAATAACCTATGTAAAACTTAATAGCAATGGTTTCCTAGAAAGATACACAAGTCTCTCTCTTGCTGAAATCACCCTAAGGAAGCATTTTCTCTCACTCAGAGAAAGCACTTGTGCTACCATTTGTATAAATTTTTAATACTGAATAAAATATTAGTGTTTAGCTTAATATTGATTCTAAGCGTAATATCCCTGTATAATGGCACACTAATTGGTTAGAATTAAATCAGACAGATTCAAGAACCCTGAGACTATACCAAGTAACACTTGTAATTTTTTTTCATTAGTTTCCAGAATTCCAATTAAAATGGAATTAATCTGTTGAATAAAAGATCATGGGGACAGTACACGCTCTGTGTGGTGTGTCATGTAAGGCCACTTCTTGGCACTCCTCCATCTTCGCTGTGGAAAACAGGAGGGGACTAAGGGAGGGAGAGGGAAAAGGAGCAATGAAATTAATATGTGAATTTCATGCACAGAGTAAGATACCCTTAAATGGAGGAAGTCCAAATACATTGAGCAATCCATACACATCGAGGTCGTATACCCACAGGGAGACAGTATACAGGCATGGAAGCAGCCTACTGAATTAAGGTGGCCTACTGCATTGGGGTTGTCTACATGCATTGAGGCAGTGTGCATGCACTGAGGTGGTCTGCTGCATTGAGGTTGTCTGTATGCATTGAGGCAAGATACGTACTTTGAGGTAGTCTACATTCATTGAGGCAGTCTCCATATGCACAAATGCAATATGCCTGCATTAAGGTGATCTACTATATTGAAGCAATCCTAGTGCACTGCAGTAGTCTTCTGCATTGAAATCATCTGCATGGCTTTAAGTTGGTCTACAGCCATTGAGCTCATTGGCTTACCATAATGGTATCTTAGACATCTTCCTTAGACTTCTGAGAGCCAGTATTCCCTTCAGTAATGTTAGGCCAATAGCAGCACCTCCTAAAGACCCTGAGGAAGCAAAACAGTTCTCATTGAGTGGGTGTCTATGGACCCCAGCAATACTTCATAAGGATTGAAATCTTGGCTGTGACCATTAGAGAGTACACAGCTGGTAGCTAGTGAGTACAAGCCTCAGGTGCTGCTGAATATCCTTAGACACTGTCTTAACTAGGGTTTACCCCTGTGAACAGACACCATGAC